CGAGTCAGACGCACCGTGTATGCCGCCTATTACACTGTCAATGTAATTGCGATTTAAGCCGCGAGAAGCAACGATATACAGTGGCGGCCAAATAAATAGGTACGAGACATTTTAAAAAGCTTGGCTATTTTTCTTTTGTTTTCTGTAATGTTCATTATTTTGTTTTATATAATTATAGCTTGAGCTATGGTCACATTACAGCATAAATTACTTTGTTTTGATCAAATTACTTCACATAATTCAAGTACGCTCACATTTTCTTTCACAATTTCCATAGAAATTTAATTAGCACGTGTTCGTACGAGTGTGTGGTTTGTACTTGATTACAAAAAAAAAAAAAAAATGGTTGCAGTTTTTTAAATTTCCTCAACAGTGGGTACTTAAATAAATGAAAAATCTTTTTTTCTTCTTTTGGTTCTTGTTTTATGATAAATTATCTCATTTCTATTTAATTTATTGACAGAAGCTAAAATATTTGATTTCAGCCTGATTTGGTTATAAATTACAAATGAGCCATAAATTGCGATAATGTGAACATGCTTTTACTCTAACAAAAACCGCTTAAGTGAAAAATTTCAAACTTTGCACATTAGTTAAAAAAAATATATTTAAGACTAGATTTTATTGGTGTTAGTAAACAGCAGATCGGCCCCCGCACCATCTAACGGCAAAATTTTTTGTGCAGTTATTTTTTTCCATTTGAGTGATATACGTTCTAAATATGAAACAAATCGGACCGTAAATACGGATTTTCCATATATGTCGACTCCTGCGCCACCTATCGGTCACATGGTTTTGTGGAATTATTCCTTTTCATGTAAATAATTTACATTCCAGATTTTAACTATATCGGCCATAAACACAATTTATCACTGTTTGATATTGCATTGTCTTCGGATTGTGAGCTAAGTTTGAAGTTTCAAGTCGTTAGCTCATCGGGAAGTTGGTTAAAAATTGATTGCAATATTTGATTACACACATGCGAAACCTATTTGATAAAAGCTAGTACATAGTGCCAGAAATTTGTATAGGCCTGCAAGGGTCAGCGATTGTATGAATGCAACACTTCGCCAGGGTTGGCCTATTTAGATATCTCACCCGCCTACTTGACACCGCCCCGCACTCACGAAACAAGAGTAATGGATTATTCTCGAACGAATCACAGAAGCGACATAGGTCGTTCTATCAGGTAAACAGCTTATGCAGGTGACTTCTTGGTCTACAGTGATCCGTGAGAATACCTCTTAATATCTTTAGCCTCTCTTTTTGGGAGGTTTATAATTGCCCTGTAGCTTGTAAGATTGTAGCCTCCCAGTAGGTAGTTAGCCTTAGGTATTACACCAGTAGAGGTCTATGAGTTTGTTCCTCTCTTTTCTGAGGTCTTCCTTGATTGAGCTGGTCCGATCGCTCAGACCCTATGGGAGACAGGGAGGCCGCCGTTTTACCTAGACAGTCCACACCGTCAGTCATTGAAGCTTGGTAGTGGATTGTCTTACCGTGGATGATATGTTTTCATAAAACAAATAAAATAAGTTGGAACTACGAAAAACTTATTAAAATGTACCTATTTTTTCACCCGCCACTGCACATATTCAGTTTGAATTCATTTAGATGTGTTTATCCGACGAACAATCTTTAATAGAATAGAATGATAAAAAACATCAAATTAAGCGGGCTTAAGTCTTATTGTATGCACTGTTGTAGATAAAATTGCAACTGATTTCGAGAATGTGCTTGTGGAGTTCCAGATAATAAATAAATACGGAACGCACAATATTTCAATAAAACTAATCCTCGTTTATTAGTAATTAATATTATATCAAATGTGGTTACCAAGAATATTGCAAATAGCGAGTTGAACTACAAGAAGGACCGGCCAAGTTGAAAGATTTTAGTACCTTCATCTGTCAAACTAACTTCAGCTGGGTTGCATTCTAGATCTAGTTAGGAGGTTGCCACATGCTCTTAAATTCAACTGACTCGCCTGCTTGGATGCGCCCTTTCGGAATGGTACAAGATTTGCCTAAGCCTTCCTTTAAAAAAAAAATTTAATTTTTGTTTTTAAACTCTGGATTAAGATGTTTCCTTTAGCCAAATTCTTCCAATAATTGTATTTAAAACAGTTGAAAAATATGACATTGGGTTTTGAAACTTGCCAAATGCCTTCCTAATATCAAGATTTTTGCGCCAAACCTTTTCTGGTGAACGACTAGCACAATCCTGTTACAACTTCAAACGAGTGTTTGACGATGTCTAACCATAATCCGAATGTATTTTTTCGTTTGTTAAACGAGCACGAAACATGAATTCGGTTCGGTGAATTATGGCCGCATATACTAAGACCGCAATCAAAAAATTAAATTAGGCAGCGGGGTCATAATTCATTTTGACAAGTGAAATTAGGATGCAATCAAAAAATTTTCGGTTATTTACACAATGGTTTTGTGGAAGGGGACGCAAGGTGAGGGAGTGTGGCATCCCACCCATTAGAAATAGCCCAGCCCAAACTTTAAGACCCCTTGGGACTCCATTTGAAAATGTGTAAAATTACAATTTTGACAGAGAAAATGTAAACTCCGGTTACGCCATCCACAATATTTTTACGCGAAACACCTTTTCGCGTCGGCGGCCTCCGCTCGCGCTTAGAAAAAAAAAACCTCGTCAGTCCAACTCCGGCTACACAGGTATAATTTTGAAAAATGAAATTAGGCCGCGGCCAAAAAATTAAATCAGGCCGCCGAAAATATAAGAAGGCAGCCCTAATTCGCGCGGTCTAAATTCCATCCACCCATGGATTCATCATAACATCCACATCAGTGATCAAGACATAGTCAACGCCGTGGATTGCTCCGGCTGAACTTACACCAAGTAAGTCCAAGTGGGTATGTCCGCCAACAATGTCATGACGACAGTTTTTTGGATGCACGCGGTGTCATTCACATCAGTTACCTTGAAAAGAGTACAATGATCACCGGCGCCCATTATTAAAGCAGTTGAATAGATTCTACGTTGATTTGAAATGAAAACCGAAAAAGGTACTTTTCTTTTCCCATTTTAGCATATAGTTGTTGAACTACATATTTTCTTCTTTCGAAACCTTCAAGAAATTTGTGTATTATGAAGAAGTTATCGCTGAAAGAAACGCCTATTTTGAGGACTTTTGGAGAAAGCCTATTTTTGGATTGGAAAAACGACGGAAAAAATATCGCTTATTTAAAGTCACTGACTTATCAAACTGTCCTCGTATGTATTCTGTTTAAAATTGTAATTTCATTACAAAAATATCAATAAAAGTGATGTTCTGACTGTAGATATTTTATTAAAGCGAATATGAAACATAAATATTGGGCTATATAAAAAGTGTCCGCTGGCTAGGTCATGTCGTTCCAACTCTGAAAGTATTCAACGCAATTTGGGAATTTTTGGAAAAGATTTTCTTTATTGAAAATCATTTTTAAACAAGCACATATTGGCCATTTATATATATGACCTTTTGCAAAGTATATTTAGAACTTCTATGGTTTATCTGCGAAAAACTTGCTCAAGTGACTTTCAGCGGTCCTTTGACCGATGCAAGTTCCGGGCTACGCTGTCTCCTGAAAGCTTGCATGACAGTCTTGCTTAACCCTTAACATTATTTCATCGACTTTCCAGTGACTGGCCGATCACAGTGAGGTGCATCTATGACATCAAAACTTCCGCAACAGAATCGAGTAAACCACCCATGGGTCTGTCATTCACTCACATCATTCTCACCGTATACTTTAAAAATTGTTCGGCATGTTTTTCCGGCGCACAGTGTTCTATTTTGGCGAAAAAGAGACAAAATCTCGAGAACGAGTTGTGATAGCGAAATAAATTTAACGGTGTTTTAAAGCTTTTAGATGGAGAATTTAAGAAAAACTGTCTACTTTCACCTTTGAAATGACTTTCGAAAATAGGTTTTACATTATTTTTAGTTGAAACCAATATGCAATGAACTTTTTAAAGGTCGACTATTTTTCCGGAATTTTCCAGCTTAAAAGCGGTTAAACACTGTTATATTTATTTCGGTATCTGTTCTCGTTCTCGAGATATTTTTTCCAAAATAGAGCACTGTGCGGTGTTTTCACCTTTTTTATAGTTAAGAAGCAACACAGCGTATTTCTTCAGATCTTTTTTTCACGACAAAAAAATAATAACAGAACTCTCTTCTCTTAAAATGTAGCCTGAAATGTCACCCCTCAAAAGCACGTGAGTTTGAAGCAATTGGATAAGTGTTGCCAGATGTATGAGCATCGCCACCACTTTGTGACAAAAATCCACAGAGATTATTTATATGACCCAATATTAATGGAGAAATGCTTTTAAACTCTTAAAATCCTACTAAGTATTTGTAGAGTATGTATGTTCCCTTTTTGCAAAGGGGCGTCTTTTCCGAAAGTGTTTATTTTTACATTTCTCATATAGGGACCTAGAAACTTTGTAGAATTTTTTTAATTGAAGCTCTTTAGAAAATTAAGCTTTTATTTTTCAATTTCGACGAAGCCTTTGTTTTCTTACAGAAATTGCTTTAGTTTTTTCTTATTTAATATCCATTAAATTTTTAAAAATCCACCATCTCCATACTTTTCGTTAACTGACTTCAGAAAACATCTTTCACAAATTGCTTTCAAATTAATAGCAAAAGTAAAATAATTGAGGCATTAGTTTTGTATACAAAGCTAATTGATTGAATTAGGCACATAAACAAATATTCTTTATTTACATAGGCACATACACACTGAAGATTTACAAACAGTTTTTTACACAGTTTATATTCGGGTGCACATATACAATAATGAAAATATGTTTTTAGGTGCGTATACGCGTATACATATATGTATGTACATCACTTCACCAGGCTAATTGTAGTAAAAATACTTAGCGGCAACACGCACTCTTTCAATTATTAAAATTGCTTTTATTTAAATTTGTTTTCGCAATTCATTTAGGTACTCATATGCAATTATTTTATTTACTCCTTTTTCTACATACATATGTATACACAAATATAACGTAAATATATGCGTCACAAAACTCAACGTACTACTTTCCGTAACGTTAATTGAATTGCGAACGCGAACTCGCATGCGATTGCAACCAAAGAGTCGAAAGCGGCAAAACAAACTGAACGACAACAGCGTTACCGGCACCGCCACTCAAACAATGAATCGACCAAACGCCACGAAGCTGCTGCAGCTGCTGACTTCTTCGGCCAAGCGCCTACGGCGAATGCCTCCGAAACGGTTATTTGTGATATCGTTGTAGACGATGATGAAGATAATTATTATGACGACGATGGATTTGAGAATAGCGCTAGCGACTTTGTCGACCACGATGGCGATGGTGGCGATGATGATGGCATGGGCAAAGCTAAAGGCGCACCAATCGACACAACTGAACCCACCGAACCCACGGAACCTAGCGAACGCGCTGAGCTCACTGCGACCGCTGAAAACATCGACTCAAGGCGCTACTTCCGCGATGAGTGTGCTAGTAAGCGCAATAACAACATCAACCATAATAAAGTGGATCAATTCAAATTTAGCGCGTGTGACGCTGGTGACAAGCGCGCCGATTATGATGGCGACGATGTAGTTAGCGAGAGTGGCTCAGATTTTGTAAGCTTCGAGGACTCAAGCAATTTTGAAGTTGTGGGTGCAATAAAACCGGACAAGAATAAGGTGAGGGCGCAACAACAGGCAAAACTACAACAACTACCACAGCATCATAGCAACAAAAAGGAGCAAGAGCAGCATAAGAAAGAGCAACAGCAACTAGAGAAACTTGAAGCGTGCCACCAGCCGCACGATCTCAAGCAGCATAGGCAGAGTAAACAACAACTGGAGCTTCAGCAGGCAAAAGTATTGAGCGAGCGCACTGAAAACTATGACACACACATCAGACAGCAGGAGCAATTTTTGCTGCAGCAGGCGTACGATGAGGAATCGTTGCAGCGTCACCAGAAAAATTACAGCGCCGCAAAGCAAAAACCCAGCAACGCTGTCGGCAACAAAACTACGTCTCAGCAAATAATTAAACAGTCACGCAATCTGCAAAAACAACTGGAACAGCAGCTGGAGGAGCATCAGCGATGCATTATTGCGCAACATCAACAGCAGCAATTGCATCATGAGCAGCTACAGCAGCATAAGCTGGTTAAACGCGAGGAGCAACGCATGATGCAGGAACAGCAGCAGATGCAAGCGCAACTGGCGGCACAGAAGCCGCTAACCCGAAATCAACTGCAATTGCAAGCGCAACAACAGGCGGGTGGTGCGCCCACTTCGCATCATAGCGCACGCGCCAGCAGCTCTCGGCAACAATCGCCTCGTCGGGCCTCTGCGCTGAGCGCCACCAGCCGCGGCCGATTGACTACGCGCACAAATAACCACGCCAGCAGTCGCGCGAGCATGACTGCCAGCGAAAAGGGAGCGAAAGTGCTGAAAAAGCGTCGCAATCCGCTCAACTCTCCACCGCCAGTGCCATCAGTCACGCCTTTGAATTCGCACCGTACACCGTGCATCGCCGCTAGCTCCGATACTGGCGATGGCGCGAAAATTCGCCCATCATCATTCACACAGATGAAGGCTCCATCGGTGAGACCGTCATACACCGCGGCGGACATAGGATACGAAGGTGGGGACGCCGCCGCCACACTCAATTCACCTACTACTTGCTCACAAGCGGAAATGTTGCAAATGTGCTCAAAGTTAAAGACTGACTTCTTCGATATGATGGTGCCGCTTACGAATGCGTTTAATATTGCAGGCGTTGTCACTGGCGCGGGTAAGGAAGAACAACGGTCACCGAGGCAATCCACATCATCATCGAGAAAGAGGGCGACTTTAGCCAACAACGATCGCATAGAGGCGCTTACCAATCGTCTTTTCAACTCGGCTGGGCAAGAGAATAGCACAAAGGGCGCTAGTAACGCGACAGCCAGAGAAGATGGCGATGAAATATGTGATCGGGGAACCTCAATGTGAGTACCACGAAATTTAATAAATAATAAACTTTATAATATATAGTTAACAGAGTAAAAATATTAATATTTTTGATTTGGAAAAGTTCTGCCATATTCCTTTTCAACTAACCCACTTACCCACTTACACCAAACCCCATTTTCCACTTAATGAAAAGAATTCAAAAAACTTTCTTAGCGGCCGAGTAGAACAAATCACGATAGTCGTTTAACTTCTGTACCAACTGACGCCAATAGCAAATGCCAAGTGAAGCCAAGTTCTTCTACACTTGGTATTTACATCGTAATGAGGGCCTCATGCGCAACCATCAGCAGGTTCTGAGTTACATACTTTCAGAGCTGTAGCTTCGGTGTCCAATCGAACGACATGGCCAAGCCAGCGGAGCCGCTCTGCGCTACTATGTCCATGTCATTGCAAAGCACGGTTCCATCGTCTGCAACTCCTTTCAGTGCTGCCGAAAGTGGTTTTGAAGTCGACAAATAGGTGATGAGTGTCGATGCTATTCTCGCGTGTATTTTCCAAGATTTGGCTTATTGTGAATACCCAGTCTATGGTGGATTTGCCAGGTCTAAAGCCACACTGATAAGGCCCAATCATTTCGTTGACGTTGGGATTCAGTCTTTCACACAATACGATCGATAAGACTTTGTAACCTATGCTTAGAAGCCCGATCCCGCGGTAGTTCTTGTGGATTGGGCAGATCACACATGCCTCGTTAAAGTCAGCTGATGGAACATCGACTCCGTCATCATGGACTAACGGGTCGACTTCGTCTTCTCCGCAGCTTTCAGTACTGCTGCCATTCAGTAGGGTGGAAAGGTATTACCTCCATAATTTAAGTACGTTCTGGACATCTGTCATCAGGTCGCCATTGTTGTTCCTCGAGAGTTCGCCCTGGTCTTGAAGACTTCCGTCAGTCGCCTAACTCTCTGGTAAAATTTTCGGGCGCTTTTCCTGTCGGCCAAGATTTCAAGCTCTCCACATCCACGTAATTCGGCTTCTCTCTTATTACTGCAGCAAATACATCGCGCTTCCCTATAGCGGTCCCATATACATAGATGGCGTTGCGCCCGAACGCAGCGTGGCCCTTTAGGCGGGATCTTTTTTCTCTGCATCTTCTTGGCACTCCTCATCGTACCAGTTGTTCTTTCGCGTTTGCTGAAATCCAACTACTTCTTCAACGGCGGTACTTAATGAACGGGTAATGTGTTTTCACTGCTCACATATTTCGGTTTAATGATCGAAGTTAAGCAATTTCGGGCGCACATTTTTTGATGTACAGTGGCGGGTGCATATCTTGGCTGCGTGAGGCGTAAATAATTGAGAGGAGACGTTCATCCACCGGGGTATATGACAGAAGTCGGCGAATTCATTTTGTCTTTACTTAATTCAATGGATCCCAAGATTTGCGTACAACTGTCGCATCGGTTCAATTAGCTCAGCTTGGAACATTTTGACAGTCTCTTCCTTTGTGACAATATTATCTAGTTGCTTGATTAATGAATACACTAAATTTAGAGGTAATAACTACATAAGGTATATGAAATTGCTTTATTTTTTTCACTGGATCGTAAAGGATTTTTCACTGCGCTTTTCAAGAAAGACTTAAGTTAGATTATGAAGGCGCGTACGAATGACTCGTACTTCCCCTCGAAGTGCCTGGAGGGGGCACATCTCGCTAACCGAATTGTCCGTCTGGTGTCTGTTGAGCGGATTACTATCCCGGATGAAGCTGTGAAGGTCCGATATCTTCACCTCCGCCATCTTCTTCAACCTGCAAGAAAGGCGGTTTTTGATCCGTTTTGAAAAGTTAAATTAGGTTGCGTTATTTGTACATCTATTAGAAAGTGTACACTGCATACTTCAGCATCAGTTTTTTGTCTAACTTGATGTTTTAAGCCAACTTCTAAACTTCTAATGGCTACAAATTGCTTGGTGGAGGTCCAATCTTTTACTACAACTACAATTTCAATGTTATCTGTATAGCGGACCATTATTGCGTTTGCTGTCGGTATTTAGTATGGGTTCTGGTACCGGTCCCCGTAGGAAGCTTCCTGTGACTTAAGGATTTTTACTCTTTCATGTAAGGCGTAAAAGAGTACCCCTCTTTGCAATAGTTACTTCTTATAATAGTGCACAGGTTAGCGGAAAGCTTTGTAGAGAGTTGCGGTGATTGTAGGAAGCGAATGCTGTTAGGCCATACATACCTTCTAAGAAGCGGAATTACCCTAGCGTCTTGTAAATTATGGCTTATTGTTGGGGAGTAAAAAAGGTTGGTTAATGAGAGGTTTAGGGGGTTCATCTCTTGCAACGCCCCGACTTAGGCTGTTTATGGTAATTATCACTGGTCACTACTTGATAGGAATACAAGCCAGCAGAATTGGCATCTTCAGCGAACTACATACATTGCCGCAGCTTTATGGAAGATGAGAAAATCGAGCACGTCGACCGTAAAGTACTCGTATTTCCCATCACTAACATAGTTAATTTGACTAACTTTAGTTAATACCAGTTTTTATAATTAGCAATGAAGTCTTGACACCATGTCGCCTCTCGTTTGACGCTAATTACTGAACTTGATCGTAATTGTTTATTAAGAATACGACTAAACCAGGCTGAAGTATACTATACTACTCACTTCACGTTTCTAACTTCCACCTCCCTTCAACTTTACTTTTTCCGTATTTAGCCTTTCGTATCTTTTCACTGTTAGCAAATTGTTGCAAAATAAGTAAACAAAACAAATTTTATACAAAAAAATTATAACAAATTATTTCAACTAAAATACTAAAAGCTGATATGTTGAGCTAAGCTCCCACAGGGAACGTATCGCAGCAGTTGAGCACAGCAGAGCGAGTGAGAACCGACACAGTAACAATATATTTAACCAATATCATTCTCCGCTCCACTCCCAACCCGTACTTTGTCGAAAATGATGTCATCGAGCAATCAACGCCGCAGCGTAGCTACCGGTCGCTTATCGCCCATTCTGAAGCTACTATCGAATAGTTAGCTGCTGATTGCTGCCAGTCAACACAGTGTTTGCCGGCTTATGGTCTGTCTCCGTTGATCCATCACCAAAATTTTGAAGTTAGAATCTTAATAAGTAGTAAATGCAAGTATGTATGCATATACTTTTGTACTTATTTATCAGTTATTTATATTCATGGCATACAAGTGTACTCGTGTGTTCATAATTTTTTAAGCTCATCTACCCTCGTTTTGTTAAGGTCTGACTCAGCTGTGCTCGAGTAGGGCTCTTTGAACTACGGATACGATTTGTACTCATATTTAAATATGTACATATGTATATATGTACTTATGTATATGTGTATGTGGAATGTACTAACCTTGCAGGGAAACCGCGAACTAGTGAATCAAATTACTATGTACTTCCGTACTACAGTCCGATGGTAACTAGATCCCCACTAGTTCAAAATCAGTGAAATGTTATACTTTTAAAAACCTATTTTATTTCATTTTTTCATTAGAAATCTATATCTTAGGTGACGAATTTAGAACTAGTTTACTTGCTTACTTTACGTAGATATGTGTTTGGCAGCTTTTTCGTTCAAATACGCTTTCATTCCGCACTTCCCAGATGCTTTTTCGTAGTTTGGTAATAAAAAAACAAAAAATTGTGTTAACATTTTAACATCTTGGGACCTTCTGGAATCTAACCAATAACCGCAAGCACCTCTGCAAACGCACACCCATATTCTGCAACCTTTCGTATTCGGATTTTGCTACGAATCGTAGAAATAGTATGCTGCAGTCCGAGTCATATTTTCGAACTTTCGAAATTCGTAACAATGACATGCCTAAAAACGAACGAGTAAGAAATTCACAGCTCTTTTGCGTAATTTTGTACGAAAACCATTCTGTGCCGGAGGCGAGATAAAGGATGTAAATCGATGTGTGTTTGCAGGAAATATTAGTGGTCTTCATTTAAACAGATAAATTTTCCTTTCGCATATACATTCATTGTTATCCACTGCTTTATATAAACGAACAAAAAAGAATCTTTGTTGCTCCTTATCGAAAAACTTGAGTCCGGTTTAGTTATTTGTACAATGATTTTCGGTTGATGTGTCGAAACGCATAACCCGAATCCAAAAACTTTAACATGCACGTGTAATCAAAGGATTAAACTTTTATTTAAAGCAAATGTTTCAAATTTCAGACCACTAGTTTATTAATAAATTCGGTTTGCACTATGCACTTTTTTGTAAATTTCGATGTGGGTTTGCACAAAAATTCTGTGGATATTTTATATACCTTCGGTATGCGGAAGCCCCTCTTCTTCGGCAACACCGGAAGGAGAATTCTACTTAGTAAGGGTTATAATCCCTAAGCGCGGCCGAAGGCAGAAGCAAGCGCAACAGGTGGTGGTCCTAACAAAGTGCATGTTTTCAATGGCTTGGAAGATGCTGTTATTGCATTAACTGGATTGAGAACCAGTTTTTCAAGTATAGGAGAAGTTCTGGCTTGTGGTCTAACAATTCAACCAGAAGCTAACATAGATGTGCCCATGGTTACTATTCCCATAGCGCGCACTTAATCCGCTGCTATAATTGCAAATGCAATAGAATCCATCGTTTCCTTCAAAATATGTAAAATCAAACAATTTTACTATAAATAAGCACTTGATGAGTGTTTTTTTAGTTCCTTTCCACTTTCCACTGTACATGTTTCCGCAGGGGATGCAGCCAGTTTTGCCGTTGTGCGACGAAAGAGGCAATTTGGCCCCGTGATTGAAAAAATTTTTACTTTTTTTATCGGTTGATTTTAGAACTGGTTCGGAGCTATAGAATTTAGGACTAGTTCGGAACTATCGAAACTGTTAAATTCGCCAGCTGCTAGCATGTGAAAGCGAATTAACGCGAACTAGTATTGGTTCTAAATTCTCTAGTACAGAATCAGTTAGGTACTAAATAGTGCATTTCCCAACAGGGTAGGAATTTGAGTTAACCACCCCTATGCTGTAATCCGTCGTAGA